ATCACTAACTGTGCCACCAGCGTCTATGCCGGCTTCGTCATCTTCTCCATCCTGGGCTTCATGGCCAACCACCTGGGTGTGGACGTGTCCCGCGTGGCAGACCACGGCCCAGGCCTGGCCTTTGTGGCATACCCAGAGGCCCTCACACTGCTGCCCATCGCCCCACTGTGGTCCCTGCTCTTCTTCTTTATGCTCATCCTGCTGGGGCTGGGCACTCAGGTACGAGGCGTGGGACCCAGGCCTGTGGCTGGGGGCAGGAGGAGGCAGGGCCAACAGTAGGCTCCTGCTCTGATGGCTGGATCCTGCAGTTTTGCCTCCTAGAGACGTTGGTCACAGCCATTGTGGATGAGGTAGGGAATGAGTGGATCCTGCAGAAAAAGACTTACGTGACCTTGGGCGTGGCTGTGGCTGGCTTCCTTCTGGGCATCCCTCTCACCAGCCAAGTAAGAACCAAGGGAAAGGCTGGGCGGGAGTTGCCAGGGTATCGGGGTGGGAAGATAGGGGAGAGAGGGGGACCATAGCCTCAGGCACCCCTGACTCAGCTGCCTACTGGCCCGCAGGCAGGCATCTACTGGCTGCTGTTGATGGACAACTACGCAGCCAGCTTCTCCTTGGTCATCATCTCCTGTATTATGTGTGTGTCCATCATGTACATTTACGGTAAGTGCCCGAGCTTCCATGGCCTCCCGTGTTCCAGCCCTTGGCCTGCTCATGCTGTCCTGTGGGTTGCTGACCTCCCTCTCTCCAGGGCACCAGAACTACTTCCAGGACATCCAGATGATGCTGGGGTTCCCACCACCCCTCTTCTTCCAGATCTGCTGGCGCTTCGTCTCACCAGCTATCATCTTTGTAAGTTCCTCGCTGGTCCCTGCCCTGCTGCCCCCGTGGCAAGCGTCCTTCTTTTGGGAACCAGCCAAGGAAGAGCACGAGCTCTTCAGGCCAGAGCTCCCCCTGGAGGCTCTGCACCCACAGCTCTGGTCATTGAAAGTCTGAGCAAAGCTATATAGAGTCAGACAGGTGTGGAGACTCAGACCACCCAAGCCCTGGCCTTGGGTCAGGAAGGGCGCACAGGGCCCTGTATTTGCTGGAAGACAGTGCCCAGCTTCAGAAGGGGAAAATAGGCTGGCAGCAGCTGAGAGTCGGCCCTCCCTCCCTGGTGTTTCCACCCGGCATCCCCTCAGAGGAGTCTCAGGAACCATGACTGACATTAGCGTTGGCCTCTAACAGCCTCACTGAGCTCGTGTCTCTAGTCCCTCATAGCTGAGGTGCTTGGAGTGATCAGGATATGTGGTGTGAATGCATGTTCCAGAAGCAGGCTGTGCAAGTCAGGTATCAGTTCAGAATCCGGGACACCCTCCTAAGCCACCGTGGAATGGGCTGGCTTGGGAGGGGAAGTTCTGGGTTTCCACCAGTATTCAACACCTGGAAGATAGACCCTCCCAGCAGGGAGTGGAAGTGGTGTAGGGAAAGCCCACCATGACCAGGAACCATATACTAAGTCTCGTGATACAACTCTCCATGGTTTCGTTATTATCCCCACTTTACAGATGAGGAAACTGAGGCCCTGAGATGTTAAGTAGTTGACCCAGGGTTATATAGCTTTTAAGAGTCAGAGCCCTCATGCGAAGCAGGTGGTCTGATCTGGAGCATGTGTGCTGCAGTAGACACAAGTTTAGGAGGAGGAGTGGTCTGTGACTACAAACCTTCTGATTTTGCTCCTTTATGATCAGGGTGAGAAGTCAGGGGCTGGGGTGGGGGGAGGGATTTGCTAGTGTAATGGTCCCTACACAGAGAAGAGGCAGGGCCATCTCTGAGTGACAGAGGGGTCAGCCCGATGGTCAGGGCAGTGTCTGGAGTCGTGTCCCCCTCGTGCCAGCTCCTCTGTGCCGCAGAGAGGTCAGTATCGGATTTCCACTTTGGCTCATGTTTCTGGGGACAAAAAGGCCCCTGAGGGCTGAGGCCTCCATCACATGGGGTGTGGGATCTTCCCGAGCCTGGCACAGGCACCAGCTCTGGCCACTGGCCCAGCTTTGAACCAGGAGGAGCGGAAGTGTCCTGTAAGCGGTGGGAGGCGGGGGAGGGCAGACACCACCGCCAAGCACTGTGCCCTCGGGCGTTGTAGCTTTGGCCCAGGACCTGCCCTGGAGGAACTCATCCTTCAGGGCTCCCATGAAGCTGCCGCCCTGTGGGGAGACCCAGGGCACTGCGGGGAGGGCAGGAGGCAGGAGGTAGCCTGGGTCCAGTGTCTCCAGGAAACTGAGGCAAAGCCTGCAGCATCCTCTCTGTGCTCAGAAAGCCAGGCTGGAATCACCTTTAGGTGAGGATACCAGGCTCTGTGTGCTTCTGTGCTGTTAGTTTTCTTTGGAGGCTTTACTTCTTCATAGTGCTGAAAAGATCTTTTATTTATTATTATTATTTTTTTTTTACAAACTCTGTCCTTCTATCAGCTCAAATAAAGAATTTGTCCACACATTAGATCGGGCTCTAGTTCCATTCAGGGAACTTATAAGCTCATCTAAGTGCAGTGTCCCCCGGATGGATGCGGGTCTTGACTTCTAGAATTTAGTCACTAAAAAGGCTGGAGGGGCCTGAGCTCCAGGATACAGCTGAAGGCTTGGGAGGTGTATGCTGAGGCCTCCTGGCAAGCAGCACCCACTGCCCTAGGCCTTCCAGGTGGCCCATGAACCACCTGCCCATCTTTCTGCTTCCTGTAGTATTCTTGTTGCTGCAACCCTAGGCTTTATCTCTGGTGTCCCTCAGCTCTTTCCAAAGCAGTTCCTGAGAGCACCCCCAACGTGACATGGTTTCTAGGCTTCCGAGCCTCCCCGGGCTGTCCACTGCCGTCTCTGCAGCCATAGACTGGCAGGACTCCTCCCTTTCCTTTCCCCCATTGCTTGCACCTTCCTGCATAAGTCAGTTCAGATCAGCACATAAGATTGTGCAGCGCTGTGCTGGGCACTGAAGACCTAGAGCTGATGCAATCCCAGGAGCTTCTAGGTCTGGAGGAAACATTCAAAAAACGCTTAGTAGATGGAAAATGCCATTGAAGCCTTAAAGGCCACGGATTCGGCCTTACTTCAGCAGGCAGTGGGAGGCCACTGCAAGTCTTTGAGTAGAACTGACTTCCAAGGGCCATGGCAGCTGAACAGTTTCTTGGCTGCTTCAGGATTATCCCGAAGCCAGACCCCTCCCCTTCCACAGTGCCCACCTGCCCATCATACCCTGGACCCCTGGTGCCATCAGCTTCTTCCAGTACCCAAACATTGATGTCAGCCCTGCCCTCCCTGAGATGCCTCTTTCTAGTCTGGGAAACTGGAGAGGGTGGGGAGCAATGCTGATAAGGAGGCCTAAGGCTGGGGTGGGGCTGGGCAGGACTCACAGCCACTCCCAACCCCCACTCTTTGCAGTTCATTCTCATCTTCTCGGTGATCCAGTACCAGCCAATCACCTACAACCAATACCAGTATCCAAGCTGGGCCGTGGCCATTGGCTTCCTCATGGCTCTGTCCTCTGTCATTTGCATTCCACTCTACGCCCTGTTCCAGTTCTGCAGAACAGATGGGGACACCCTCCTCCAGGTGAGGTGTGGGGGCAGGGGCAGCCAGGTGAATCAAAAGGGGGTGGATGGATGGATGGATGGCGCTCCAGGTCTCCCTTCTGATGCACTCTATCCGCCCATCCCTCCCCCATGCCTATCCCTCCTGCAGCGTTTGAAAAATGCAACAAAGCCAAGCAGAGACTGGGGTCCCGCCCTCCTGGAGCACCGAACAGGGCGCTACGCCCCCACCATCCCACCCTCCCCTGAAGACGGGCTTGAGGTCCAGCCACTGCACCCGGACAAGGCCCAGATTCCCATGGTGGGCAGTAATGGCTCCAGCCGCCTGCAGGACTCCCGGATATGAGCGCAGCTGCCAGGGGAGTGCCCAACCCCCACCCTGTGCTCCCAACACAGAGATTGGGGAGACGGTGGATAGGTGTCACCGCCTGCCCCCACCATGCCCTGGCCAGGGGTGGCACCTGTCACCTTGGCCACCACTGCTAGCACGGTCATTCGTGCTAACGTCCCTAGTGTTTACAGGTCCTTTGGATGCCAAGATGGCAGCTGGGGGGGTGTGGGTGATGGGGCGGGCGTTGCTGGGGGGCCCAATAGCACTTTGGAGGGGTCTCAGGCCAGGTCCCCAGGGGCCTGCTGGGCTTCACGTGGCCTCTGATGCCCCCACACTTTGCCCTGAGCTGAGGTTCTGGGTGGGTCTCCTACCTGTCCCTTGCCCTGAGCCTCCAGCCTCCTGACCAGTGTTCCTGCCCTTGGGGTGGACCCCAGCCTCCGCCCAGGCTAATTCAGATCTTCCTACCTGGAGGCAGGGTGAGGGGCCGGGGGGCTGTGCAGTGTTACGGGCCAGGCTGTGTGGCCCGGCCCTTTTGTCTGTGTGATTATTTTTGTAAAAAGTATATTGTCTGTGGTTGCCACCCCATCGCCCTTGGCCTCGGGCCCAATCTGTGTTCCAGGCCCACCTGCACCTCACTTGGCGGCTCTGAGGTCTCTGCGCCTCCTTCCAGCACCGGCTGTCAGGGCCAGCCCAACAGAGGCCCATGACCCAACAGCCTGCCCAAAGAACTCGTTTCTGGGGGGTAGGGGTGGGGTGATGCTCAGCAGGAGGGTTGAGCCCAGAGCCCCGGGTAAGGGGACCCTACACGACACCCCCTTGCCCTACCACCACCAGGCTAAAGCCCAGTCTTCCTGAACTGGGCTACCCTTGTTCACGTGCCAAATCGCCCCAGCCCGCGTGCCCCAACCCCTCTCTGGAGCCAGAACTCCTTCCCCCAAGCCCTGCAGTGTCCGTGTATCCATCCTCCGTGCCCGTCTGTGCAGTGACAGCCCTGGAAGAGCCGCCTCTAATCCTCTGTAGCAATAATGGTGCGCCTCCCACTCCCGACCATCCGCGCACCACTAGGATTTTAAAGTCCATAGGTTTTAATGAAATTTCTATTCCTGTCTCTGAGCTGCTGCTGTGCTTTGTCTGGGTCCTCCAGGGGGACGAGTCAGGGCTGGGACAAGGTCTCCTCCTCCTGCCAGGCCTTTGGTGGGGGGGTACCTGGGAGGAGAAAGGCCAGAGGCTGTGATAGTCAGGACTGGACACCCAGGACCTGGCGAGAAGGTAGAGGGCCAGACAGACAGATAGAGAGCAGTGGAATCCTGGGGAGGGCTCATCCTAGACTAGATCTGAAGTGGGCTGCGCCCTGGCAGCTGAAAGGGGGCAGTAGTAGACAGGATGCGTGCCAACCGAAGCTGAAGCCTCCTTCCTGAGCAGCCCTTCAGGTTGGGGCCTGGGTCGCTGCACTAGACATCGGAGTAGAAGCTGGCCTTTTCCCAGGGCTGAACTGAATCTTCCGTCCCCAGCGGCAGGTGGAGGCCAGGCTGCGAGGTTTGGGGCAGCGCTCCAGAGGAGGAGCAGGCAGGCAGCACTGGAGAGGCCTGGCCCAAACTCCAGCAGCCCCGTGGAGGCAAGACAGGGGTCCAGGGCCCTGGCTGGAGGACCCCAAGCGCTGTGCCCTGAATGGGAGGGAGTAGCTGTGAGGGGGGCATGGCCTGCCCCTCAGCCTGCCCCATCCAGCTATCTGTCTGCTCCAGGTTACCTGTGGCTGGGGGAGACACAGGGAGGCCTCAGGGGTGCCTGCAGCTCCTGTTGCATGGCTGCCTTCTGTTCCTTTAGCTCTGGAGGAGAAGTTCTACCTGAGACACAGCAGCCAGTCTTCCAGGCTGTGTTACAAGAGTGAGGTGGGGTGGTGGGGGCAGGGGGTAGGGGTGGCACAGAGCACTGGGTACTCTGGGGCCTGCCTAGGGTCCTCACCTGCCAGGGTGGGCTCTAGGCTTGCCTCAGAGGGCCGAGGGGTCCCTGTATATTCGTCTTCCAGGCAGCGCTGCAGGGAGAGCTGGCTCAGTGCCTGGCCTTACGGCAGGGGCGGGGCAGGGCTGGGCAGGGTGCCCAGGCCAGAATCCCCATGGTGGGGCGCAGGAACCAGCCCGTGCAGTCTCTTCCTCCCAACCATCTGGGGGCACTCCTGAGAGGAACACCAGCCTCTCTCTGAAAAGCTGAGCTTGGCAAGGGGGTGGCAGGCCTGAACCCAGACTTGGGGAAGAGAAGGAGGCAAAAGACCTGGGAAGACCCAGCAGTTGATCTAAAAGTGCTGACCTCGGACTTAGGGACTCAACTGGAATATGGGTTCACGTACTTAGGGATCACACACATAAGAAGTGTGCACACGGGAAAAACGGACCCAGGGTTCATACAATCTCTGCAGGCACAGACACACACAGACACATGTGTGGGGATCTCACGCCCTGGGTGAAGACACGGGGGTGTCTACGCTCAGCAGAGGGGCTGGGGGTGGGGTGGCCCAGGACTGCAGCTCACCTGCAGGATGGGAATCTCCCTCTCCAGCGCACGGCACTCTTCCTCCAGGAGGGCCCTGGGACACGGGCAGTGAGGCACCAGAAGCAGCACTGCAGGCCTGGGTCTCAGCAGAGCGCTTCATGTAGTCCCAACGTCTGGCCTCCCCAGGAGCCTCCTCTGGGCCCTCCTATCTCCGCCCACCTCTCCCTCTGCTGCCCTCATGCTGTTCCAGCACAGCCTTGCAGCCCCACCAGCCTCTTCCTGGGCAGGGTGTGTCCTCTCTCCTTGCCCGCCTTCCAGTGCCCAACCTGAGGAGCAGCCGTCTCTCTTCTACTCGATAGGACTAGACTTGTGGGTCCTCCTGCCTCTGTTCTCCCCCATATCACAGCCTTGCCCCTGCTTTAAAAACTCTTGTGCGTGTCATCTCTCTACCACCTCCCAGGATAAAAGTCCTCAGGCCAAGGCCCGTGTAGGCATCTGTACTTGATTGATTCCCGGCAGCAACCTCATCAGCATCCTGCCCTTTCCACCTCTCAGCCCCACTTTTCCGGGTCTCCCAGCCAGGTGTGTTCCCTCCCTTCTCCTCCCAGTAGTCCCAATACATCAGGATCCATCTGCAGCCCCACCCTCCCTGTCTCCACTGCCATTGCACACACTTGGGGCCTCACCGCAGGTGTCCAGCAACCTGGTCAATGTAGGACATGTTCAGCTGGTCCTTGATGACACTGAGGTCCTGGTGACAGCTGCTGGCAGATGAAGTCAACCTCACTCTCCCATGCTGCTTCACCCCAGGACTTCAGAACACAAATGCCATTTATCCTAGACAATTTTGTGCTTTCTCACAAAGGCAACACAAGATGGTACTAAAAGGAGGAGATCTGGAGCCTGGGATTGCACACATGGGTTCTGCCACCCTTTACTGTGTTTGAGCCTGGGAAAGTCAGTCATCCTTTCTGAGCTTTAGTATCATTATCTGCAAAATGGGGACATCACCCCCTTCATAAGGATGTGTGAGAAATAAGTTGCTACCATTCACTGATGAACACGCTGCTGCTTGTTTATCTCATTCAGTCCCCACCCCTCTCTAACCCAGTCCTCGCAGCCTTGCTGTCCCAGCCTGATGGATAAGTGGCCACTGGATGAAGTCTTTCCTTCCACTCATACCTGCATGTAGTGCTCCCTCTTCCTGCAAAGCGCTTCTCTTTGTGTCTGTCTGGAAGTCTGTTCCTCATATTCTAAAACCCAGATCGAACCAAGCTCCCAGGATTGGCACGTGTCTCCTGGGCCTCTGCAACCCTCACGGGCTGACCCCTACCACAGGTGGCTATAGAAGTGTCAGTCCCAGACCACGAGCTCCTCCATGCCTGCAGGTGGGACCTACCAGTTGCCCGGGTTCCTTTGCCCAGCAAGGACAGATCCCTCCTCTCCTATTACTATACCTGGATTCACCAGCTCTCATCTGGAACATCTCCTGTTCTGGCAAATCACGCCTGGGCTCCTCCAAGGCAAAGCGCAGGACCCTGGGGCTATACTGGACCCAAGCCTGGGTCTGGTCCCTGCAGAAGATGCATAAAGGCAATTCAGGGCCTCATTCCAGGGAACCACAGGAAAGGCAACCCTGGCCCTTGTCAGTTGCCAGGCTAGCCCATCTGAGTTCTGGAGACAGGGCCCAGCCCCAGGTCTGGAGCTCCAACCTGCCCTCACAGATGGCCTTCCGGCGGAGACCTTGGAGGAGCTGCCGCAGTTCCTGGCGCATGAGATCTCTTACAAGGGGCGGTGGTGCCAGAAGGGAAGAGAGGTCAGAGGTGGGGCGCGATCCAGGGGATTGGATAGATCGAGCCTCTTGGAGCAATGATCGTAACATCACCACCTGCAAGGAGAGCTGGGGCACCTCGGCGACTGCGGAGGGAAGTGAGGGGAGGCAGGGGAGCTGGGGGAATGAGGGGCAGGGCAGTTAAATTGGAGAGGGTTGGGCGGACAGTAAGCTCCAACAAGAGCTCGAGAGTTTTACTGGGCAGGGCTAGGGACCCGTAGGAGGTGAGAAAACCATCCGAGCCGTAGGATAGGTCTGCCGTGGGACAGGTCTGCAGTGGGGCCCACCTTCTTACGCCCCACCTCTGCCCGTAGCTCCATGCTCAGATCCACCGTCGTATCCCCTAGAATCCTTTTCACTTCGGGCCGCTCCGGGAGCGGAACGTGCTCTTCCATCAGTTCCCACAGCGACAGGGAGTCCCCAGGCATGGCCCGCCCGCGCCGCCGCCCCCGAAACGCGCGGCCGCACGCTTGGACCTGCTGGATCACCGGTCGGAGCACTGGGTTACTGGGATACCGCTAGTCGCCCTTGGCAGGGCGCGCCCACTCACGCCTCGCCCGCTTCCGGGTCTCACAGGCCACGCCCCCAGTCTGTCACTCTGACCGGCCTCTCCCAAGCCCCATTCCGTTCTGCCGCCCGTCCCCACGACTAAAGTTGCTCGGTCCAGAGCCGCTGGCCTCTGGCGCTCTCCTGCCCTACTACTGATCGACTCTCGGAGGCCACGGTCTCAGGTCGCGGCCCCGGGAGCCAGGCGGCGGGACTGCCGCCCTAGCCCCGCCTCTTCCGCGGGGCCGTTACCCGGGAAACGGGGCCCGCTACCCCAAGCCCCGCCCCCAGAGCCCCAGCCCCGCCCATTCCAGGGCGGGGCCGGCTAACAAAGCCCAACCCACAGCCGTGGTAGGTAGTTTCGCAGTCTCAACCATGCACATCAACCTGACTCCAAGCAGCTTTCATCCCTGGGCACCTTTAGACTCCAGGGCAAGTGAAAGACCAAGAAATCTGAGCCCGGTGGGTTTATTACTTCCTTGCCTTTTCTGGCCAGGAGGCAGCGGCACGGTAAAATTTCTCCTTCCAGCCCGGGGAAAGTCTAGTGAACCGCTGCACTTCTAGGGACCTGGGGAACCAGGACAGTCCGGACCAGATAGATTGGGCCAGGCACCCTTCCCACAACACACCAGGATCGGGGATTAGGGATGCAGATCCCCATCCCCAAACAGACAAAGGGCTTCTCCATTCACGTTTTTTACTAAAGCACCCACACAAGTTTCTGTGCAATGTACAAACACGAGCCGGTCCTGGGGCTACTGCCTTCTCTCTAAGAGGCGGGGTGGGGCTGGAACCCAACTGATCCAAGCCCCATCCACCCCCATGCAAAGCCCAACTCCAAGATCCCAGGCAGCGACACAGCACCCCCTCTGGTCCCCTCCTGGGGCTGCTCCTCAGCAGGGGGTGCCCCAGAGTTTGCCCCCTACAATGTTGAGTGAAAAAGGTTTCCCCTCCCCTGGGAGTGTGGGGGATCCTCAGGTCTGAGAATTCCCCCTGGAAGCAACATTGCCCCCTAGTCATACCTCCCACTCTTCTAGGCCCTAGGGGACTCAAGGGGGGGAAACTGAGGCACAGAGAGGTGGAGTGACCTGGCCCAGGTCACTCGGCGAGGCAGTGCAGGGGTTGACCCAACCCTGACAGTGAGGGGGGCTGAACTGGGGAGGGAGGAGCAGGAGGGGTTGACCCCAGAGACGGCCACCCTTGAGGGGCCTGCCCAGGATGGAAGCTCCCCCAAAGTAGGTTCTGAAACTTCCAAGTGCAGCTGGGGGGTGCCTACTGAAGACCCTCAGAAAACGGAGCCCACAGTCTCAGTCCTGGGGGATCCACCACAGAGCAACTGCCAGCCAGGCTGTAGGTCAGTCCTCTGACAGGCAATCCTTGGCACTGGGAGCCTTTGTCCACTGGTGTCATCCCCGAGGAGGCCAAGAAGGGGGCCGCCCAATGTCCACTGTGATATTGGTGAAGAGTGGCTGCCGAGACACCTCTAAGACCTGGTACCGCACTGACCCGATGCCGTCCCGCTTCATGGTCAGCTTCGTGTTTTGAATCTTGGTAAACCTAGACAGGATAGAAGTGGGTCTAGATCAGGGCTCACCACCGAACCCAGTAGGGATCACTGGGGCCAAGGCCCACGCCCTCCTGGCTTCTTCCTGGGGTGACTCAGTTCTCCTTGCTACCCCCTCCACCTGCCTTTGGCTCTTGCAACAACCCTCAAAACAGAGATCTCACCCCCTTCAGTCCAGAATCATGACACGCTAACCAATTTTTCTCTCATCACAGACCTAGACATAGGGTACCCCACAGATACCTCAAATACAACGTGTCCTATATTGTATGCATCATCTTTACTCCCCACACCCACCATCTCTGTGCCACCTTCTCTGTTCCTTATCCTTTAATCACACCTTCATCATCTATTTATTGAACAGTCCCCGTGTGCCAGGCCCTGTCTAAGCACCAAGGTCACAGCCATGAACAGAACTGCAAAGTCCTTCCTCTCATGGCAAGTCTATACCACTAGGGCAGACAAGTAATAGACAAGGAAGACACCAGAGTACTGAGGGAGACAGCAGACAGGGTGACTGCCGTGGAAGGGGTGGGTGTGCGCCATTAAGCTGAAAGCAGAGGAAGAGCTTTCCAGGCAGAGGTAAAAGCATAGGCTGACCCTAAACTGAAAATGAGAATCTGCACAGCAGAGTGGCTAGAGCTTAATGGGCCAAGGAGAAAACCCAGAATAAGATTAGCTGGGAGGTTAGAACAGGTTTGGGCAGGCCTCTGTAAGTCAGAGGAAACAGCTTTTTATTCTGTGAGTGAAAAAACACAGGGATTTTTAGCCTAGTCTGGGAAAGGGAGGGCCAGGGAACATGAACTACAAAGAGGATGCACTAGTGCAAAGGTACAGGGGAAAGTGGACCGGCTCAGACACCTTTCAGGGCTGGCACTGATAAGACCTGCTGATGGTCCAGATATGTAGGGCGAGAGCAAGAAGAATCCAGGAGAACTCCTAGATCTGAGGCAAAAGCAACCAGCTAGATGAAGCCAGCACCCACAGAGTTCCTTAAGTCAGAAACATCTTGCTATCTTGGCCATGCAGATATCACTAACCAAGGATGGCACCTAGACATGGTCCCCTGGCCTGTGCTTCTAGAGCCCCACTGCCACCCTCATCCTAACTGTTTTGATCCTCTCCATCCTTCTTGGCTCAGTTCAGATCCCTCTCTGGAGCCAGTCCAACACTGAGTACTCCCCCTCAGATACCCCAAAGCCCCTCTTCTCCCAGCCTGTCGTCCCTTCCCTACTTACCATAGTTTTTAACTTAACTGCTTTTTTATCAGCTCCCTGGATGGTCAGTACTTCATGCTTCTGCCAAATATCAACCCTACATCAGTACGGCCACCTCCCTCCCTGCTCTGACACCCTGGCTTCAGAGCAGAACATCCTACTGGTCTGGTGGGTGCATGCCAGTTTCACATGCAGCAAACCCCCTGGGCTCCACTAATTCCTTTGAGCCTGGTTTACTTTCCTCCTGCTCTACTCAGCAGCTCTGCCAGCTTCTTCAAACTCAAAGGGTGATCCTTCCAAACCCAAATGTGGTCCCGTCCCTTCCCCACATGAAAGTTCTTCCATGACTCTCCAGCACCCCTGGGACAAAACTGAAACTCCCAACCTGGGATCAGCAGTGACCCCCCTCCTGTCACTCCCAGCCTTCAGAATGTAATAATGAAGAGTTTCAAGCTCTCAGCGTATACAATGGATGTACACATTCCAGACTCCTACACATCTGATTCCTTTTATCCAGACTAGCCTCCTCCATCAGCCTGGTGAATACAGTACTGTACCCAAGGTAGGTGTGTGACAAATATTTGTAGAATGAATAACTCTTTTCAAACTCTAGTTTACCATCACCTCCTCCAGGAATACTCCATGCTCCAGTACTTTGGCCACCTGATGTGAACAGCTGACTCACTGGAAAAGACCCTGATGCTGGGAAAGATTGAGGGCAGGAGGAGAAGAGGGCGACAGAAGATGAGATGGTTGGATGGCATCACCGACTCAATGGATATGAACTTGGGCAAACTCCAGGAGATGGTGAAGGACAGGGAAGCCTGGCATGCTGCAGTCTATGGGGTCAGGAAGAGTCGGACACAACTTGGCCACTGAACAACCACCTCCAGGAAGCTTCCTACCATCACTCCCTCTTCTGCCAGGACAGCACCTTGCCCTGATCGCCTTGTGCTGTATCTGTTGGTCTCTCTCCCTAGACTGAACTTCACACAAGCTGCCCAGTGGGGATTAGGTCTGAGTGCTCTGGATCCCCTAACACGCCTCCTGCCCTCTACCACCCATCTCACATGCCCACAGGCACTTCTCCCAGTCACCATTAAAACACCAATGTGGCTTCCTCCTCAGAGACCAGCCACCTATTCAATCTGAGGGCTCAGCAGTGTCTTTCCACTCCCGCCACCCTACACTGCTCGGGGCAATCTCTGTTGGGTCCCTAGGCCCTGGAGTTGTGCCCTGGGCCTGCTGTCTCTTGTCCTATCTGTTCAGGCTGGAGTGAGGTCTGTGAGGGCCCAAGAGGAATGCAAGTTACTCAGTGACAATTTGAGCCCCACCTTTAAATTTCAATCACTTGCGGAATCAGGCCAGGGGTGAGAGTTGAGCTGGGGACTAAGGACCAGGGGTGGGGGTGCCAGGAGTCATCTCAGGAGTCAAGGGTCAGGGGCCATGGGATCACCTCTGGGGATCAGCAGCACTGGGACATCACCTCTATGGGGTAAGGGGCCAGGACGGCTGGGGTTGAGGGCGCTGGGGGGGTCACCTTTGAGGGTTGGGCTCGTTATGCTTGTCCCGGTCGTGCTTGATCATTCGGTAGCGGCCTATGCGGATGTCGGGACGCGAGATCTTCATCCCAGCCAGGGAGATCCTGGGGTCAGGGACAGCCGGGCTGGAGTGGGCACCAGAATGGGCGAAGAGCCCCGCCTGGTCTGCGCCCACCATCCACACCCCATCGATTCCCCACCCCCTCCCCACTCACCGGTTGAAGATGTCGTCATCCTCACCACCCCAGCCCCAGTACTCGTTGGGGAAGCCATTGATTCTCAGGAACTGGGATTTATTCAGGCCCGACACACCTCCGAAGTAGCCGGCATAGGGCAGCCTGGGGCACGGAGGATATGCGTCAGTGAGGGGCCTGAGGGGATTCCAGATAGAGGTCTGGCAACAAGGGGGGGAAGGGGGCTGGGAGTGATGGCCGGGGCAGGACTGGGGAGGCCTGGGTCCAGCAGAGAAGGGAGCCCTCACCGGAAGCCAAATTTGTCCATGGCAATGGCAAAGTGGCGGGGCTGGTCACCACAGCGGTACAGGTTGCGGTCATCCATGGGGACCAGGTCCACGTCACTGAAGATGAAGCAGTTGTAGGTGGAGTCCTCCTTGAGCGCCTCTAGGAAACCCACGTTGAGCAGCTTGGCCCGGTTGAAGGTGTCCTCACCGTGCTGGGGTTGGTAGAGGAGACAGGTCGGCCCTGGGCCTGAGACTTGGAAGCATCTGCCACTTTACCACTGTCCAGAGTGGTCCCTGCAGACCTAGCACTACCTGTCAACTCATCCTCCACTGGGGCCTCTGCACTCTCGGGATCAAATCCAGCTCTTTATCCTAGACCTAGCTTTGCAAAACCTTTTAGAATTTGGCTCCATCTCCTCTCTGGCCAATGACCTCAGAACCCCCCCCCCCCCGCCAAGCCCAGCTATACTATATTTCTCCACAACCCCAGAGCATGCCAGACTCTTTCCTGCCTCCAGGCCTCAGTGTGAGCAGTTGCCCCTGTCTGGAATGCTCTCCTTCTCCACTTATCAAATTCATGTCTGGAAAGGACTCTGTTAGCAAACCTCCCCGCCCCAGTATAATTACTCATTCCCTCCCCTGTGCTTCACTTATGCCAGGTCCATTCAAACTGTTACAATTTAGGGCTCTCATTTCATTCATTCCTTCAATCATGCCCCTCGGCCCTGTCCTTGGTGCCAGGCATCTTCTCTGTGCCAGTGAGGATCTTAAAGATGAGTGGCCCTGAGCACACTGCTTCCCTACTGAGCATGTCATGGAGTGAAATGAACAAAGAATGTCCCCAAATGGCCAGCATCTCAGATGCAGAGACCATGCGGACTGAGTCACCTGTCCCCTCTGGCTCTTGCAGATCTACATCCAACTCCCTGGGCGGCCTCTGGGACCAAGCTCGATTCACTTGTCTCCCCGACAAAATGATAAGCATAATGAGCCTGGAGTCCCCCAAGAAATGGGGCTGTGGGATCAGGTCTCCTTGAGGTTGGTCTCCTGGCCATGCACGCCCACACTCTGAATTCTGGCCAGAGGAAGGAGGGTTTCATGGAAGGAGCTGGCTGGCTCCTGAAGCCCCTGCTCCAACCCATGATCTCCAGGCTGGAGCCAGAAAGCCTCCTGGTCTTCAAGTGGGCTCTCCTGGAAGGAGAGGAGGAGCAGCCCCTCCTTCCTATCAGCCAACCTACCAGCCAACCAGGGCCCAAGAGGGCAGGAGCTGCTCCCCTGGACCCTGAACAGCCTGGCCCCACCTGCTCTCTCTCTTCCTTGCCCTGAACCTTCTCTCCCACTAGCCCTTGGAGCAATGGTCTATTTCCTCCATCTGCACTCCTTCCTAACCTCTCACCACCCCGGAGTCCCAGGTTTCTCCCACAGGGCTCATAAACATGCCCATTTCTCTCCCATCCAAAGAAAGCCCTTCCTTTAGACCCCCACCATATCTTTTGCCTTCCCTTCTCAGCAGAGTTTTTTTTTTTTTTTAATAAAGAGTTGTCTCCAATTGGCTACTTGCATTTTGTCAGATCTGATTCCTTCTGCAACCCACTGCAATCTGCTTCCGCCCCCACCATGCCCCTGAAATGGCTCTTGCTGGGCCCACCTTGTTGCTAAATCCACTGGACGCTTCTCGGTCTACATCCTTCCTTACTCCCCCAGCAGCGCTCACGCAGCTGCCACGCTGCCTTCTTGACGCTTATTCCTGGGTGCTGGGACACCGAGTTCTCTTGGGTCTCCTTGAACCTTTCTGGCCAACCCTCGCAGCCTCTGTGGTCTCTCTTTCTCCACCCATTCCTTACATGCTGGCTTTCTCCTCTCAGTTCCCAGGCCCCACCCCAGGCAGGCTGGACATGGCTGGTTTTAGGGACCACCTATATACTGGTGGCTCCCAGATCCCTTGCCACCTCAGACTTCACTCCTAGGCCAGTTCGTTTGTCCAAATGCCTGAACATTCCTCTTATGCTTCCCCCAGGCACTTAAACTCATCAAGTGCAAAAAAGACACATTCTCCCCTAGACCCGGCCCAGATCCTGTGTTCCCATCTCACAAGCGCAACCATACACAGGGCCAGAAGTCAAGACAGAGAGCCTCAAGGTGTCCTGGCACCTCCCTTTACTCTCAGCTACTTGTATCCCGTCTCTCCTCTCATCCGCACGACTCCTGCCCAACTCGCAGGCGCATTCACCACCTCTATCCTGAACATAGCAGCCTCTTCCCAACCAGGTGCCCTACCTCCTGGCTCCCCTTCCATCCCATTGTCCACATGCCATCAGAGCAATCTTTCTAATAAGCACACATACATATTACCCTCTCCCTAAAACCCCACTATGGGAACTCCCTGGTGGTGGTCCAGTGGTTAAGAATCTGCCTTCCAGTGTAGGGGACATGGGTTCGATCCCTGGTTGGGAACTAAGATCCCACATGCCGTGGGGATCCTGACTAAGCCTTTGAACTGCAGCTACTGAGGCCACACACTCTAGAGCCCACACCATAACTAGAGAGCCCGTGCTGCCCCCATGAAGACCAGCATGGCCAAAAAACACACAACAGCGCCCCATCACTTTCATGCTGGAATCCAACTGCTTGAGATGACTCCTAGGACCCTTGTGGATGTGGCCTCCACTAGCCCTTCCAACCTCATCTCTGCTACCCATCCTGCATGTGGGACCCCACTGCTCAGCTGACACTTCCTGAACACCTGAGACCAGTTCTCTCACTGGGGCCTGAGGCCTCCTCTGTCCCTCTGCCTGGAATGCTTGCCTTCCCCAGTCTCTCCACCGGCTGATGCCCATTCATCCCTCAAGACCCATCTCAATGGTCGCTTCCCCACCCTGGGGTTAAAGCAGGTCGCCTGGTGGCTCCACAGCTCCCTGGTCCTACTCCAAGCACACGCCACCATCCTGGAGTCTAAAGGGATCCAAGTTCACGTCTGGGAATTCTCTGTGGGGAGGAGGGTCTTTATCAGGCCTTCTCCAGGCCCCAGCAGCCAGCCCAGCCAGACCCACAGGGGAGGGCCTGGAGCCTGAGCTGAATTCCTGGATCTCAGCTGTGCTCAGCACTTGGCCCTAAGGCAGTCTTGATCCCTCTTTCAGGTCTAACTCTCTCTGCTCAGGGCCCTCACTATCTCATAGCCTGTGTACCCTAAGCCAGCAGCACCATGGGGTGGGGCCTACCAAAGGTAAACAATGGCACTCACCCACAACAGAGACTACGCACACCTGGCAGTGTGTCTACCACCATTAACATGTATGTATGCAATCCCCCTGAAGGCACGTGCAAACCCACATATGCACGCGATGACATACATGGACCCCCACATGTACATCACGTGTCCACACAACTATTCAGGCATCCATGAATGCCCCCAACCCCACGTGCACCAACAGGCACGTGGGTCCCCTGGTGGCCGGTGACCAGCCTGGAGGCTGCGGCTGCACACCTGGTTGATGACGTAGATGCCATAGCGTAGTCGCTGTCGCCTGAGGATGGGATGCAGATAGTGGAGCCAGTAGCGCAGGTGGTGTTCCCGGTGTCGAAAGGGGATGATGACTGCCACCGTCTGGGCTGGGGTGCAGTCAGGCGGCGTGTAGCGGCCACCGAGGAGGACACCTGGGTTCTCCCTCTGCACCCGCTCCAGGGGCATGGGTGAGGTGAACTCAATCAGCAGTCGGCCCACTGCAGGCAGGACAGGGGCGGGAATTAGGTCTTCATCAGAAGCCAAGGATGCCAGGCCCCTCCCTCTACCTGGGGTGGGCCAGGGAATCCCAGGAATAGCCCTCTGCCAACACACAACACCGGGGGCCAAGACTCCACTCCCCCAGACCTCGGCCCACCCCTAGAGGCAAGCCCCACCCTGCAGGCTCACCAAGGCCGGGCGGCGAGTCAGGACAGGGTGGCAGGACAGGAGCCGTGGGGCCAGGCCGGGCGCTGGGAGCCTCGGGGAGCCCGGAGCTGGGGGCAGTGGCGTTTGGCCGAGAGCAGTTGGTGCTGCTGCTGGCGGCTGGGTGGAGGGCACGGGAGGGGCCGCGTGCACTGAAGCGGCTGAAGAAGGCCAAGTGCTGGGCGTAGACGTCAAAGTAGAGGATGACGGCCACAAGAAAGTGCAGCAGGCAGAGAAGGAGCACGGCCTTGCAGACGCGCTCCAGCGTCCCCCCCAGCAGTCTGCTCATCCCGCAGGCGGCCGCCGGCCCGCCCAATGGGCCCGGGCATCCGGCTGCCGGCCTGAGCAGGGGTGGGAGAGAGACATACCCAGCAGGTCAGGGCCAGAGGGGCAGGGCCACCCACCCACCTCCTGTGCACTGCTCCTATTCTTAGACGTGCATCCTCACACTTACCTGCTCACACCCTTTGACAAATTCTACTTGTAAATACACACACACAGGGTCCCTGACAACTCACTACTCATGGATCTTCACACACTAGAGTACTAACCCACACGTGCTTTCCTTCCTCATCCTCACTGACACATATATACATGGAGAGCCTCACCTACCCTCACACTTGGGTAAGTGCCCTTCTTACTCAACTTCACCCCCCACCCCCACCATGGATCATGGGCCGTGACCTCTGATCACACCAGTTCACATCTGAACACAGAAACACACTTAGGTATAGACCCACACAGGTTCTCTGTGCCCCAGAGAACAAATGCCCACAGCCCAGCATCCTCAACCCAGAAGTCCTGGTCTGAGGAAAGGAGAGCATTTACTGAGTATTTACCATGCCAGCGCACTTTGTACTCAAGACTTCATTTAGTCCTCCTGGAACATGGGGGTGGGCAGTGATTTCTTTGGTCAGGTCCCAGTGGCGAGTAGGCCAGGCCATCTGGGAGCAGGCTGGGAAGTGGCCCTCAGCATGCAGGTGGCCCAAATTTGAACAAGATAAGTTTATGGGATCACTTCCCTCTGGAGCAAGAGGTAAAAAGACAGGATGGGGCCCAGGACACCCCTCCCATAAGACCTCAAGGACTGGTTCTGATTCCCAGAAAGGGAAATGCTTGGGCCCTTGTAGAGAGAATATCAGGAGAGGGTTTTGCCTGGGCCATGGCTCTAACTGGGGGTCCCACAGCAGTAACACTTCTGGGGGCACTTCTGGCAGTGCTTCAGAGAGCAGGCTGAGTCTCCCTCAGATACACAGTATCTATCACACAACCACACAAACACCCTGGGTCCCAGCTACAGTCAGATACACTGTAGCTGCACTTAGATACACAGAGAACTACATAAAGAGTCACAGACACGCCTGGGTGACAGTAACATAATGCACCGAGTCACCCACTCACAAACAAAGCCGCGCTCCTGGACTTACACAGTCACACAGACGGGCTCCCTGGCAGCTCACAACACCCCGACCCACGTGCAAACACTCCCACCACTCCCTCCGGGTCACGGGTTTTGGGTCAGGTTGCCGGTCAGGCTACGAGGTGAGTTTGGGCGGGGCTGGAAGGCTGAGTGGCCTGAACACGTGGCACCCCTGGACAGGGAAGCAGGGAAGACCGGGTGGGTGTGGAGCATGTGTNCGGCGCGCCCGCACGCGCGTCCCCGCGGCCCCCGCCTCCAGCGCGCCCGTCCCCGCCGCGCGCCTCCGACGCCCGCCCCTGCTGGCCGCCAAGCGCGGCCGCGGGTACCAAGGACCAGGGAGGGGCGGGCGAAATTAATCAAACTCATCCAAGGGCTCCGAACCGGAGCAGGTGTGGATGGGTCAAACCCGTTTTGGAAGAATGGGGTCTGGTCTGGGTTGGAGCGCCAACTCAGCCAAAGAAGGGCATCTGGAAGTTCGGCAGGGAGGTCAGGAATTTGTCGGCTCATCGATGGGAGCAGAATCAAAAGGTCTGCCAGCGGAGAGGGCTGTGAGTTGGGCAGGACGCTTAAAGGTGTGAGCCGAAGTGTGTGTGGCAGGGGCTTCTAGGGGAACAGGAGGTTGGGTAAGAGGTTGGACAGGCGTGGGAGGAGCTGGGCACAGCCCTGGGAACTCGGGATCAAACTAATTACTGGCATGGGATGTTGCAGGGATGAACACAAATAAAGAGTTCCAAGGCCCCAGAGGTAGAGATGGTGGATGCCCGAAGGGAGAAACAAATAATAAACACAAACAGCTGGGGCTAAGCTGACCTAAGCCGGGAGGGCATGGGGTTGGTCACCTCCTCCCACAATCAAGCAAGGGGCCCACATCCCCCAGACTTGCTCCTTCAATAAAGAGGGTTAGAGCTACAGAGGCCTCAGCCCAGCACCATTCCCTTCCCACCCAGGAGCTAGTGTTGTCCAGAGCAGAGACAGTGTATATGAACTGGAAAGCTAGAGAGGCTGGCATGAAGTTGAGGCCTACAGGTCTCTTTACCCTTCTTCTGTGAAAGGTGGCGGCGAAGGAACACAAAAGCAGCAGCACTGACCCAGACTGATACCACGTTTATTTCACAAACACTGGGAAGACGGGTTGGAGGTGGAGGTGGGACACAGGTGCAAAGCTGCACAGTCATCTACAGCCCGCTCCCCACACAGATGATCCAGCCAGGCAGAGAGCCTCCAAGTCGACAGGCAGCGCGAAGTGAGTGTAGGGAAGGCCCTAAACACCAAACCCCCTGAAAGCCTAAGGGGCACAGCTCCAGCTGTCCCGGGGAAAACCACAATAAATACGAGTGGGGCACGGCCCCACCCACATAGACCGTCTAATCACCCATCTTCACTCTGGAGGTCTGCAAAAGAAGAAAAGGAGAAATCAGGCAGGGACAAAAAAATTGATTAGACAATGACATATGACAGAAGATGAGACCCATGGCAGGATGGCCAGACCACAAGAAGCGGATGACTGGGCCACGATGGACATGCTGTGACAAACACAGTGAATGGGGACTACAGACAACTGCAAGGTTCAATGGAGAGAAGTGGCATATGGAGATGCCAGTCTCTTAAGAGTCAACTGAGTCAGGCACCCACAGTCACACTCAAGATCCTCTGGCTGATCCTTAGCCACACTCATACACTGTAAGACAAACAAGATACACACATCTCAGACATGCTGCCCAACTGACAATACAGTCAAACTCATCAAGACAGACCACAACAGACAAGATCCCAACCTGGTCTAGACTACAAAGACAGAAAAAATAACAGAAGAGGAAAAGAGAGACCAATCTTTCATATATAGAAACAATGTAACAGACCAAAAGACCAAAAAAGATGTTATCAGTGATACCATGTTGAAGACAGAAATAAATGGAAAGCTTCAAAAGGGGAAAACCAGAAGATGGGGATGAGGCAGTGAAAGCTGTTAGGGGTTTTACGGTTACAGATGTAGAAGGGAACACTGTGGCTCCTCCAGAAGAAGGGTGAGATTGGGTTGGGGACAAGGACAGATGCTCCCCAGGGGGATTCAGCACCTGAAGGATTGCAACGATGACCCCAAAAAGGCCGATGGCACTGCCAAAGATCTCCACGATGAGAATCTTTACAAAGAGGCTGGGGTTCTGTGCATCAGCCAAGGCGGCTCCACTGCCCACGATGCCCACGCAGACTCCACAGAAGAGGTTAGACAGGCCCACTGTAAGGCCAGCCCCAAACATGGAGTAACCTGGAGGGATGGAAAGGGAGCACTGATATCAAACCAGATATGGGGGGGAAATGAAGGCAAGGACTAATGGGACCAGCCACCACCCCAATTCTGCAAAGCAGGCCAAAGAATATCAAAATGAAGAGTCTAAGCTGAGGTGTGCACTGGAGGGGAATCATCTGTGAAGCCCTGGTTTTCTGCCTTCACACACCCACCTACCTGCATGGTAGTTCCGATGGCCAATAGCCTTGGGGTCAGTAGCACTGAAAGGCTGAGGGAGGCAGAGCAATAATCAGAAACCACTCCCTACTCCACTCCCCCTCCCCCACCATCACTAAGCAATATAAAACACACTGGAATTGACACCCACCCCACCTAGTCTTCCATACCTCAGCCATGTTGCTAATGACAATTGCCATGATGATGCCATAGATGGCCACAGCCTCACAGAAGATGATGCTGGTAGTGGTAATGGGGGATTAGAGGGCAAAGAGGAGAAAGAGATGAGAAAGAAGCCAACCTTCCTCCCTGGAGAGTCTCCAACCACCTCTCCCCCTACTGACACCCCCACTCCTACTGACCCAGGAGGCCGGTCAGGAGCAGCATGTAAGGTAGGTCAAATACACAGGCAGCTCCCACTTGGTTCTGACAACCTTACGAGGCTCCTACACTTACCTGACCAAGTTCTTGGTCTTGATCCTGGGGGCCTTCACCCCTCCTCCAATGATGGAAGAGCCAGTGATATAAATGCCCCTGATGGACAAATAATAAACCAATAAGCAGAGCCCAAACTTGCCATTGCCCCCATGATGACTAAGAACCCAATGACACCCCCTGCTATGATTCAGCCCCTCTCCTGTCCCATGACCCCAACACTCACCATGCCGCCCCAACCACAGACAAGGAGATAGCTAGGCCAATGCCCAGGTTTGACCACATGAAGGGGGAAGTCTCTGTCAGGAACCTGGTGTGCAGACGGGGGAAAGATAAGTCAGTCCTTATGGAGAAGTGGGCACAAAATCCAGTCCGACCCTGCTCCAACCCCTCCAGTCCTGGATGCTGAAACAGAACACTTCATGTTTCCCAAAGGGCCACAATCCCATACAGCTGGGGGGTGGGTGCAGGTGGGGAGGGAAGGAATTCAGATCAGAGAGGGGAGGCGTCAAAGAAGCTCCTAGGGGAAACCTCTCCCTTACCACGCCACATCGAAGCGGAAGCCCAAGTCAAAAATGGTGTAACAGATTCCTACAGCAATGAGAAAAACGGGGTTAGTGGCCTGCTCTCTAGACAGAAGCTCCACAACTTAGACGAGAAGTTGCTGCCCAGCAGATGGGCCAGCTTCCCAAAGGTCTGCATACATCTAAGTCAAGAGAGTCCTTTGGCTCTCCCCAAAATGAAAGCACAGCTGCCTATACAGATTCCTCTGCTCAGGCCTCCATTTTCTGTCATTCCCTCAAGAACCTCCCTCCCTCTGTGACACCATCTCCCAGACGGAGACCCGTCACGGGGAGCCACCAGGAGGTCTGAATACCCTGGAGGAGGGGAGGGAGCAACAGCTCGGGCCAGGCCTCACCAGATGCAGCCAGCCCAGTCTGACCCGCTGTTTACTCAACACGCTGTGGGTGTGGGGGGAGGGCAAAACGACCGGGAAAAGAGGAACTGGAGCAGCTGGCTCGCGACCCAGGCAGGCCCGTCAGGAGCAAGGCAGGGAGGGCGCGGGAAGCCGGGGAAGGGAGCCCAGTGACAGTAGGGGACCAGGGCTGCGATCGCTCGAGGTCCCCACCGAGCCCCGCCCGCGCCCTCCACAAGCAGCTGCAGATACCAGCCTCCTCTGTCCGGGTTACGGGCCCAGACAGACGCGAGTCAAGTCCAGGAGCCTGAGGTATTAGAGCCCGCGTCAGGACCTAATATTCCTAACACTCCACCTCCCCGCTGGGCTCCAGCCGGGTCAGCTCGGCCCGAAGCCGTCCCCGCCCTCCAGGGCCCGGCCTCACCCACGACGAGCAGGCAGGCCCAGAAGGCCACGAAGACCCCGGAGTAGAGCAGCACTAGACCCGTCATGGCGGCAAAGACGGCGGGACGCGGGTCGGGGGGGCCTGAGCTCAAACCGCGTCCCTGCGTCCGCCGTCCGCCCCGCAGCCCGTCGACCCGCCCCGCGGTGTCACCTGACTGGCCCACGTGACCCGCAGGCGTCAGGTGACCTCAAGTCGGGCCCGGCGCTCAGTCGCCGGCGATCTAGGAATTTGGCGACGCCGGAATTGCAGGCGCAGAGGATTGTGGTGATTGTAGTCTCGCGGCCTGAAACCTTTCTTGCCGAATACCTCGATCGTTGCCTGGCCGGTCCATCTAGGGTCGGGCCGCTCCCTCTTGTACGCCCGGGCACTCCGCCCAGCTCCGGCCCACCAGTTCTGCTTTCCACCCGAGCCTGCTCACCGCCGCCCTAGCTTAGTCTCCAAGCCAATGCTGATCTCGCGGGCCTCCTCCCTGAACGTCCCACCCAGCTCGCGAGGGTGTCTGCTCCGTCCCTCACTGAGCTCATGCTGTTTCCTCTGCCTGAAGCACGTTTCTTCGTGCTCACCCCAAGGTCGGCCAACACCTATCTTAAGATACGTTCTAACAGGAAGCTTTCCCTAGCCAGAGGCAGGGGAATGCGCCCGCTCTAGGGTCTCCCGCCACCCTAGCGATGCTTCTATAACTTTAGTAAGATCATGTCACTCAAATACCTCGGTGGCCCCCCTTTCCCTCTCTATAAAAACCATGGTCCTTATAATGGCCTACCAGGCCTCTTAACCCTGATTTCGTTGCCCAATAGTTTCTTACTAACTCCCTCCTCTGGCTGCCCTGTTGTTTTTCAGTCACTAAGTCGTGACTCTTTGCGACCCCATGGACTACAGCACACCAGGCTTCCTTGTCCTTCACTATCTCCCAGAATTTGCTCAGACTCCTATCCACTGAGTCAATGGTGCCATCCAACCAGCTCATCCTCTGTCGTCCCTTCTCCTCCTGCCCTCAACCTTCCCCAGCATCAGGGTCTTTTCCAATGGCTGCACTGGCCTCCTGGCTATTTCTTGAACACCATCATACCCTCAATGCATTGCACTTGTTCCCTCTGCTTCTTCTAATTATTCACATGGTTCACTCAAAACTTCTTTCAGTCTTTGTTCACCTTCAAAAAGTCTTCTCTGATCATCCTGTTTAATACTGTAGCCCCTTCTCTTACACTCCTTCCCAGCTTTATATTTCTCCATAGCCCTCATCACCATTCTGCATACTGTTCTGATTGTCTGTCTTCTCCACCACAAAAATGTAAGCAACCATGAAAGGATTCCTGAACTCACTGCTGATTTCCACTGCTTGGCACACCCCGGTGTTCAATCCATATTTGTAGAATACACAACTGGTGCTCACCTTTTCCCAGTTACCACGATCAGTTTACAGAACTGCCTCTACCAGTAGACTGTGCAATCCTTAAAGGCAGAAATCACAACACCCTAACAGTGTTAGTCAGTTGTGTCTGATTCTTTGCGAAAACCCTAGGCTGTAGCCCGCCAGGCAAGAATACGGTATGAGTAGCCATTCCCTTCTCCAGGGTAACTTTCTGATCCAGGGATCGAACCCTGGTTTCCTGAATTGAAGGCAGATTCTGTACCATCTGAGCCACCAGGGGGACAGTGCCAATATGTCGAGATTTTTCAGCAAATGCAGGGAACTAAGGTGAGTCATTTTCACTTCACCCCTCTAAACCTTTAGGATCTAGCAACTCCACTTTGCTTAAAGTACCCACAGTGATGGTCTATGCCTGTGTGTGTGAGCTTGGTGTACCTTGTCCAAATGTCCTTTTCACTCCATTACTTCTCCCCCCCCCCCCCCCCATCAAGAGATTCAGCTGAGGTAACACTCTCTCCGAGAAGCTTCTTCTGGGCTCCAGCTGCCCCTGGGGACTTCCTTCCTCATAAAGAATACTGCATCACCCTGTGGTAATTGCCTTTTTAGCTGCCTCTCTTCCCAGCTACACTGTGAGGACAGGACTCCTATCAAATATAATTCAGATCTCAACCCACAGGACCTGTGCAGGACTTGGCAGTATTTGATGAATAAAAAGAAAACAAGGAGAAAAATTATCTGGTTTATTCAAGTTTCTGTGACCGCCCTGAGAAACAAATTGGAGTCAGTGTAGACCAGCAGTGCCCAGCAGAACCTTCTGCAGTGATAGAAATGTCTTCTAGCTGTGCTGTCCTCTTATGTGGTTATCTGAGTACTGAAATATGATTAGTGTGACTGAGAAACTGAGCTTTTAATCTTAATTCAAATTTATGTTTGACAGCCACATGTATTGTGTAGCATAAGCGTAGACCAGTTGATTCTCAACTGTGGATGCTTTTGTCCCCTTAAGGGACATTTACCAACATCTGGAGACATTTCTGTTTATCATAATTGGAGAGGGGTATGCTACTGGCACCTATTAGGCAGAAACCAGAGATGATGCTAAACATCCTACAATGCACAAGACAGCCCATCACAAACAATTATCTGGCCCAAAACATCAACAGTGCCAAGGCTGAAAAACCGTGGTCTAAAACTCTAGCACCTGCCTTTGAAAAAGACAGACCCTCAACTGCACAGCAGGAACTTGGATTGGCCAGAGGTCTTGGGTTGCTCCCAGGGGAACAGATGGCCCAGAGGCTTCAGGGAAGACCTAAAGCTGTTCCCTCGTCAGTCAAACAACAGACCTTTACCAAGCCAGTATGGGCTAAGCCTTGTGCCAGTGCCAGGAAAGGAGAAGATGAGACAGAGCTGGACCCTGTCCTCATTGAGGGGCTGCCTCAGTGAGAGGCTCCTTCAAGGATCCTGGCATAAGAGTGAGGTTGGTGCAGGGAGCACTGAAGGTCTTAAGTCCACCGGTGCCTCTGGTCCCACATGTTATCAGCTATTTCCCTCATCCTCATAGGCGATGGCAATTCCTCGTCTTCCGCTTACAGCTCCCGTCACTGGCGTCTGACCCAGGCAGGGCTGCAGTCCTTTCCAGCTCCGGGAACTAAGGAATGAGGCTGCAGAGGGAGGGGGTTGAGGCTGAATGACCTGAACAGGGGGGAAGGGTTCAGATGGGAGTGGAGATCTGCCACACTCACCTGCAGGGCTGCTCTCAGCCAGCTCCAGCGGGGGCCTCAGGGTCAGCGCTGAGCACCCAGGATCATCTGATGGCTTCCAGGCAGGTGGGGGTCGGAGATCCCCAGTAATGAGTGACACATCTGGGGTGTCCCACAGCTCTGAGTCAGGTGGAGGGAGGGGCACGTGGAAGGGAGAGCCTGGAAGGGAGGGGGGAAAAAAGGATTTATATTGGCCCCCCAACTTCATGCCCCAAGTGTTTTTAGCTTAGGCAGTGCCCCCACCACTCACCAGGCAACAAGTCCGCATAATGTGTGAGGTGGGGAGCCAGGCCTGGAGGTGGCCATGCAGGGTTGCAGGCAGCCTCCAGCTCACATGGTGCTAATACAGGCCTGAAGAAGCTGCCAGAAGGCTGGGGGGCTAGAGTACCCAAAGGACAGGCCAACAGCACAAATACGTCCACCTCAGGGAAGTTGGCAAGCTTGGCAGGCGTGGGCCGCCCAAGGGCCAACACATAGCTACGCTTGCCAGCAGCCTGTGTCAAGTTCCGCAAGTGTGCCAGGGCCTCCTGGTGTCGAGCCACACCCAGCGTGCCCGCCAGCAGCCCCACCACACGGGCATCTCTCGCCCTCTCCACCAGATAGCGTCTACGTGCTCTTAGCCGCCCAGCCCGGACACCTTCATCCTGAGTCCGGCCTGTGTCTGGGCAGCAGGAGGAGAAGGGCCGCCCTGGTGCCCAGCCCAAAAGCAGCCGGCTTAGGTCTGGGTCAGTGTCAGGGTCAGAGATGGCCTCAGAGCCCCCCACATAGAAGGCACCATACTCTTCCAAACACCTCCCTGGAGCCAAAGGGAAGCGGCGCCCAAAACGCTCCAGGGGCTCAGGCTTTGGATTGAGGGAGCCTGCTGGCAGGGGAAGAGCCGGGCTGGAGACAAGCAGGTCCAGATACCGTGGGCGCAGAAGGGTGGCCAAGGCCTCTGGAAGAAGAAGGTGGTGTCAGGGTTGGGGCCTGGTAAAATGGGATGCCCCTCATCCCCAGGAGACTGAATGGGACCCAAAAGGAGAGGTTGGGGCCCAGCCCATGTGGAGAACTCCACAGGAGTGCACTAAAATGGGGAAATTAAGGTACAAACTGGTCAGCCCACCCTACCCGCATGCACAGGCAAAACCCTCACCCAGGGCGTGGGCACAGGCTGGCTCACTGAGCAGCACCACAGGCGCTGTGGGGTCTGGGTTCTGGGCCTCAAAGGCTTTAGCGCAGAGCTCCAAGGCCACAGATCGCTGACCAAGGACGAAGGCCACGGGCAGTGGGCGGGCAGGAGGGCTTAAGCAGGCAGGGCCAAAATGTACAAGGGCCTGAGCTCCAGCTTGCTCTGCACCCAGTACATCCACACAGCAGCTGCAGGGGAGATACCATCAGGAGAGAGGTTCTCATTGATAAAAGTATTGCTGTCATCAATGGAAAATGTGGTCAGTAAAGAAAACCATGTTATGAAAAGATGGGGTGGGAGCTGAGTGGGACGTTCAAGAGGAAGGGGACGTATGTTAAACTACAGCTGATACATGTTGATGTGTGGCAGAAACGAACACAATATTGTTCAGCAATTCAGTCAGTTCAGTTGCTCAGTCGTGTCTGACTCTTTGCGACCCCATGAACTGCAGCACACCAGGCCTCCCTGTCCATCACCAACTCCCGGAGTTTACCCAAACCCATGTCCATTGAGTCGGTGATGCCATCTAACCATCTCATCCTCCAATTAAAAATAAAATGAAAAGACAGTGTCACTAAGAAGAGCTAGTGTCAGGAAAGGAATCATCATCATGAAGGAGAAACAAAGCTACTGAGGCCAGACACTGTCATAAAGGAGAAATGTCATCAGTCCTGGATCCCTACCTCACCCTCAATACGCAAGCTCAATTTCACACCTGCCATAGGCTGTGTCTCCTAGAACGAACATCTTCGACCCGGTAGCCTCCTCCAGTCGTGCTGCCACGGCCCCAGCATCTCCCAATAGCTGGTCAGGGAACTGTAAGGCCACCTGTAAGCATGTACCATGGAGTCAGGAACAGCCTCTCCTGCACCAAGGGTGTTTTCAAGGGAAACCTTTCCGGGAGTCCCGACCTAACCTTCCAAGCCCCTCCACCCAGCGAAGCATTCCCCCCACCCCCATTCCCAGCCTCACAAAATTACCCCAAGATCCCAATCCTCTGGCAGACCCATCCGCTCCCCAACATGCCCTCACCCGCTGACACCCCAGGTCGCGGACAAATCCAACGACTCGCTCCAGCTCGTACACTCGGTCCAGGTCTACAAGTGGAGTGCGCAGCCCGGCAGAGCCTGCCTCTCGCTGCAGCGCCGCCTCCGCAGGGCTGCTGAAGGTGGACTCCATGAGGCACAATCTGGGTGGCGGCAGGCAACGGGAACCTCCCTCAGTTAGCTTCAGGCCCCGCGGGCTCAAAAACAGCCCTCAAAGAGTCAGAATCGATTGGTGGGGACGGTGGGCGGAGAGGCGCCGGGAGTCAGTCCGCCCTAAGCCCTTTAGCCAGCCCCTCTCCCACGGCAACTCCTGTTTCTCTGCTTTACCACTACACATGGGCCTCCCGGAGACTACGTCCGGGTGTTTGAGGCGGGACTGACGGCAATCATACCCGTCTACCTGCACCGCCAATCCCCGCCAAGCCATCCCGAGAACCAATGGTCGGCCTCCGAGCCTGAAGTCAATCGGAAGTGCCTCAGAGAAAGAGCGGAGCCTTGTGGGTGTTGTAGTTCTCCTGGCGCTCGTCTCCTTGGCTCTGGTCTTCCGGTTCAGCCCCATGCCCCCCTCAAACACACCGATTGCCTGAAAATTACTACTCCGGTTTGAGCAGTTCCTATCCGCCTACACTGGTAAGGACTTCCCGTACACTCTATCACCTTGGGAGGTGGCATTGCATAATTTTTAAGTTAAGTACCAAACTGCCTGGGTTTGAATATTGGGCTATGCCACGTAACTACTCAAGTTATTCAACGTCTTTATGACTTGTTTCCTCGGAATGGGGTTGTAACAGTAGTACTTTTAATAGAATTGCGGGGGCAAATTAATTTAGATATAAAACTTCATAAAGCAGTCCTCTGCATAGCACATGTACTGAAATCATCCGCTATGATCCTCAGAGCAGTCTGTCGATTAGGCAGACATTGAGCACTTTTTGTTCACCAGGGACTCACGTTCTGAGTTTAGTCTTTGGAGTAAGAGCTGGCCCATATTACAGATGATGAAACTGTGGTTCAAAGAGGCTAACGGCCTAATAAGACACAGCAAGTCAGTGACACAATCAGTATCAAACCCAGGTCTGATTTCGGAAACTGTTCTTTACACCCCTCATTCTTCCAGGTTTTATATATATATCTCACATTTGGTCATGACCGGGAGGAAGAAGACACCTGGGTGTCATGCTATAGAAAAAAAGGACAAAATGTGAAACATCTCCACATACCCCAGGAGAAATGAAAAAATCAAAAGGTGTGAATGGGGTGGAGGAGGGGTAAGGGAAAGAGGACAGAGTAACTTCAGGGAATGACATGAAAGGGAGCCTGATGCTGGTTGGTGTGGGAAGAGACTGAATAAGGATGAAGAATGTAGGACACAGAACTTCCAGAGATTGGGAAAACAGGAGAAAGACTGAGACAAACATGGGAATAACCAGTTCTCCTATCACCTCCAAGGACACTCGTGGCTCAAGCCTGGGAGTGAGGAAAACCCAGTCCAAGACTGCTCCAATCTTACTGAGAAGGCTGGGGTGCCTGAGAGGCAGCAGGCTGAGACAGAAAGGGAGAGAATATGGGACTGGAGCAACAGCAGGCCAGGAGCTGTCCTTGGTCCTGACCAAGCCCTGCCCATCATGTCGGGTACCACAGAGGTGGGGAGCTATGGTTTTGCAGACAACACTAGGGCTTGCCTTCCTCTTCCTCTGGGGGC